TTTTCCCCCCCCCCCCCAATTACCTCATCTCCCCCATTTCCCAAGCCTTATTAACCCCCAAGCCTCATTAAATTAATTCACAATTCCAATCATTACCCAAAAAGTTCGTCATTTCCCAAATCTCATCATGTCCCAAACCTTATTGTATAAGACCCATTAGGGTGTTACGCCATTGGGCTTAGGGGTTACAAAGTAATTAACCGAGGCCGCTTAGACACGTTCTCGGGAGGGAAAGCACACACAAACTGTGTCAGCCGGTTCATGTCCCACCACGCATGAGAGGGTCAACTCCCAGAAGGGTGGCCATTGTGATGGATGCCCCCGATGGAATGAGCACCTTAGCAAGTTGCATGACCCATGAGCTCCGATAAATCCGCACCCGACAAAGCTAAAAGAGTGGCACAGCCCGACCGGAAACCGTGTAGCGGTTCCCCCTCATCGGCTGTCATCTCACGTAAATAGGTCGTTAAACGGCCTTCAGCAGCTGCAGAAGTGAGGGAGCGATCATGGACACCGCTATGAGAGGTCCATGAAGAGGGAACCACAAGTTAAGCCGGTCAATGTCAAGTTGACGTGCTACCCCTTCCGAACAAGTTGCAGAGTTGCACGCAGCCGGTGATCATTGGCTGCCATTCCTCCGCCAACCTGAAGGGGCTCGCCTCGGACACTCACCCAATGTCACTCAATGGGCTTAACGACATCCCGAACAGCAGAATCGAAAAACTACATTTCGCCCACGACCAAAAAACATCATACGAAAATATGTAAGGAAAGATATACTGAGGAAACCAAATAACGGCAAGCCCCATATAAATTAAACAAGTCCTCTACCTGCTCGATCAGACGGTTTGCTGGTGTAGGGCGTTTGGAAATGGAATGAAATAGAATGAATAACTGACGAACTGAGGATATCTCAGTTTGTGTGGGTCGAACGACGGCCGATTCTTTAGAGGTTTCCACCGCACAAAAGGCGATTTACAACTAAGCAAGAAGCGAGCAAAGGTGGAAATAACTTATAATAGCGGAAAATTTTGAAATACAATCGTCGTTGTAGTAATCGTTTGGGTAATCGATACCTCGATACTTTTACGAAAAAGTAATCCGTATCGTATCGAATCGATACTGATGGTATCGCCCATCACTAATTTAAATTTTTTGTTTTTGCTCATTTGCCATATCACATGTTTCTTAAAATTAATTGGCTGTTTAGCCTGCGTGGCAGGCTTTTATTCCTTGAGCTTGCCATGCAGGCTATTGGCTGTTTGAATCCTATGATTAAATATGATTGGTTGATTGAAGTCAGCACTCTAATGTGATTGGTTGAAAGAAGGTGCGATTTCAGCACGAATATTATCGCACTGCTAGGAGTGCGATTCGTGCTGAAATCGCACTCCTGTGAACTAATCAGATTGCAGGAAACACCATTGATTTCAAAATGAATATAATAAAGTACGTTATAATGCTTATTACCCACTTGTCTGTCGTTTAGTATATTTCAACCTGCGAGCGGTTATTGTACCGTAGTCATGCATAGATAAAACATTTCATTACAGTTCAGTTCCAATTTTTCTTTAATTTGTAGCTGAGAACACAAAACCGCATGAAGAATTAGAGCACATTTCAGCAGACAAGACAGTAGATGTTCTTTTGGTTACAACCGATGACGAGGAGTTTACTTTGGCTCATGAAATATTGAAAGGTCGCCAGATAGTAGCAGATAATGGACCAAATCAGGGTCAACTCTGTTTAGGAGAAATTGGAAAAAATAAAATCGCATTATTAAAAGCATCACCGAGAGAAACAGTTAGAGTTGATGTACTGTGCGCTAAAACAATTCAGAACCTGGAGCCCAAAGCCATTGTTAGTGTTGGAGTATGCAGTGGCACGAAGGAAAATGTACATCACTTGCGAGATGTTTTGATATCATCCCAGGTTGATTTTTACAATCCTGTTGGTGAAAAAAGTCCTAAGCTTGCTGTACATGACTGCAATTTAGCACTGATAACGCTATTTGACCAAGCTGGTTGGTATGGTCCTAAACCAGGAGTGGTGGATCCAGAACGCCATGTTGGTCAGATTGTCTGTGCTGCACAAGACATGAGCAACACAGCATACAAGGACGAAGTAGGATTACTGTATCCTGATGCCATTGGAGTTGACAAACAAAGTGGAGGTAAGTCAAAAGGATTTCAATCATAGGCGTACGGGAAGGAAAAAATTAGGGGGGCAGAAACAAATTTGCCCGACTTTTTCGAATTGTGCCCGACTAGTGCCCGAAAAATTTTTTTTCCCGAAAAATTTTTTTTCCGGAACAATAAATTTTGGCGACCTTCTCCCCCCGTCGCCAAAAAAATTTCGGTCAGTGTACCATTTTAAGGGTCCAAAAATTTTTCGGACATACCAAAATTCATACCAATAAATTGCCCATATAAGTAGGACATATGCAGTGATCCTCAGTAATGCGCATATCAAACATAGACAAGCATTTCAAATTTAGATCATTTTTAGGTCTGAATTGATATCAACATAAATATAAAGTCCAAATAAACGCATGGAGGGATATAATATATAATAAAATGCAAATACTGCTATATCAAGAAATGCGATACATCAGGCCAGATCTCCCACAGCGGTCTGCAGTGTTGGCCTTTGCGAGATTCCATATACAACAACAAACGACGTTAGCATCCTTTTACTGACTCTGAAACTCAAGGAATATGCTGCGCAATCGTTTATCTTTGGTTTAGGCTTTATGATGTGCTAATTATACGTCCAGTTGAGCGAGAATTCTTTAAAACCAGGCAATATACGAACAACCAAATGCGCAGATAGCGCCTGTGTTTACACGCAGACTTGGTTGAAGAAATACGCATTTTGCCCCGAGATATTTAGGACGAAACAACAATAATTTAGTATCGAAATGCTCGTCACAGTGAAGCGATTCTGAATTTGCTCCTACTTTTGAGACTACGCATGCTCCGATTGGGATATGCCGCTTTTTCGTCTGACCGCGCACCTATTTCGCGTCACAACATAGAGATTTATTCTATCGGATTACAAAGTTTCGAAACGATTTTGCCCCTAGCATATTATTAATTTTTCGGCAAATTTTGAAGTTTATAGATAGAATTATGAACATATTTTATGTATCCGTTCCTACTTTTTGGAAAAGCAATAAAAATAATCTCTAATATACGGTTTTGTTCATAATTTTGGCGATTTTCAACCAATTATCGCTGAAATTTCTGGGGACTGGGAACGAGCTCAGGTTTAATAGGCAAATGTCCAAAATTTCTTGCCATGTTTCGGAACATCAAACAAATTTACCAAACATCACAAAATTTCATTAATTTCCCGCAAAATTTACAGAATTTGTCCCATTTATTTTTATAATATGAATTATAATATAGCATTTGTAAATTCCATATTGCCCGACTGTGAACCGAATATTGCTCAACTGGCTTGGTTTGCCCAACAAACTGGGGTTATTATTACGAGAGATTTTATTTCTTTGACTACTTTTTCCCCGACTTTTGCCCGACTTTTGTTGAACATTTGCCCGACTTTTCGACTTTGTAATCTTTGGGGGGGGGGGGGATTTCCGACCCGTCCCGTACGCCTATGATTTCAATTGTATCAGTACACATTCTTTTATCAATATTAATTTAAAATTAACAAATATAAAACATTTTCCGT